TGTTTGATAAGAACAAGCACATAGAAAATTTGAATACTCAATTAAAAAGAAATCTAATTAATGTTTTATTCAAAAATAAAAGAATTAGAGAATTAAATGATTGTTATCTTTTTTGAGGGGTTTGCTAGCCAACAGAATCCAAGAAGCAAATAATTTAACCAACCAAAAGAATGATTTACAAAATCAAGTAAATGATTTAAATCAACAATTAACACTTGCTGATAATGCTATTAATACTCTCCATCAAGAATTAAATCAAAGAGATGGTGAGATAAGAAGACTTGAAAACAAAATAAGAGAATTGGAAGAAAAACTAAACTTGCGTCCTAATATCACACAAGAGTATTTAAACCAATTAAGGGCAGAAATAAATAATTTGGGAACACAAAGAGATAACCGCCCAGATATCGCCCTCCGCCAATGAAACGACGATTACAAACAACGACCAACTCAACAGCAATTAACTAATCTTCAAAATGAATTAAGCAAGGAACGAGATTGATGAGAAAAGTGAATAAATGATAATAGAGAAAAAATTGCTTGACTAAGCAGAAATCCATTTGCTAACCACCTAGTAAGTTTAGTAATTGCTATTTCTGCTAATAGCAGTTACAATATTGGACACGGGTTTGACGAGTCAGATTTAAAATCTGATTGAAATAATACGACAGCAAAAAAGGTAAAAATAGCAGTTAAGGAATATATTGATTCTGCAAAACAAAAATATTATAATAATAATTAAATAATTATGACAGAAACCTCAAATCTAACCCCAGAACAAAAAGAAAAAAACAAGCAATACGTTCTCGAACATTTGGACGAATACACACTTGATTCTCATGGCAATTTTGTCCTTTTCAGTCCTGACATCGACCCCGAAGATGAAGAAATACATTTTTATTTTGGCAAAGATAGTTTTACTCCGGAAGGACACAAAGAAATAAAAATAAATTTTTTGAAACGATTTTACTAGAAATAAATGATTGGGAGATTATTTTTGAAAAGACATCTTGGGGCTTTATCAAAGGAATAGAAGGTTTTCGACATAAACCAAGCAAAAAGAGGATATATGAAAATGTTTTATTTTATGATATGTATTACTACATGGTAGGAGAATTAGGTTATCGAAAAAACATTTGAGAAACTTACGAAGAGGATACTATAGCATGAAGAAAGAAAGAGT